TGGAGCGGGAGAGGGGCGGGGCCAGCTCAACGGCAATTCGCCTGCAGGTCGGGGAGATCGTTACCCGCCAGGTAGAGCAGAGCTGCCTGTCCCATGCTCTCCCCCAGTTCCTGCCGCCCCTTTGCATTCTGGGTTAGGCTCAATGCTCCTATCTGTGTGTGGAATAAGTTTTGTTCTGTGCACCGAGGCGTGCGTGGCTGCGCACCACACATAAAAACACAGGATGCCCGCTGTGGGTGCTCTGCCAATCAGCTGGTCCATATGCCAGGCTCTCCCCTACTACTCCACCACTCAGCTTAGAGGGAGCCCTGGTTAGGTTCCCAATGGGACAACAGCATTCCAGTGGGTGTTTCTGGGAACATCAGCCTCCCTGAATGCACTTATTGCCTTCCTCCATCCCGTGTGAAAGCAATTTTTTGTGTCCCTTTTCCCCTAGGTATGACACCTGAATGGATAACTGGGCGAGCATGGACCACCCCCAAACCCCTGTTCATCTGCAAACTGCTTTGGCAAGCATTGCAAACACCTCGTGGTTGCCAGAGAGAGGATGAATGTTGAAAAAGCCATAAACACAGATATGCTCGAAACCGTTGATGGGAGAAATTGGCACAAACTGGCGGCAATCAGTCCTGTTGACAAAGAGGAACACCAGTTCTGGTCCTGTGAGACAAGCATAGACTGGTGAGGCTGAATTGTTATGCAGTTATGGAACCATGACCAGTGGCTGCAAAACTTTCGCATGCATAAGGCCACTTTTATGGATTCCTGCCCCATCTTCAGACACGTTAAACTTCCGGGGGAGCTTCCTGGTGTGTAGGCAGAGGGGCTGCCACAGATAAACTCAACCACCTTCCACTACTTGTAGTGTTCTTACAAATGTGAAGTGCCCTTGTAATGTTGAAAGCTCCTACTTTATAGGAATGTGCTACAGGTGGCACTTTCTTATTGGTACGATTGTAAGGTAGTGCTACTGTAGGAAACAGCTGCTAGTGGCAGTGCAATCATACGTGCAGTAGTTTACAACATTTCTGTGTTGAAAACAGCTCCCTGTAGGATTATGCTCCTGGGGGCAGTTTCTGATTTCCAGAAATAAGAAATTGCTATTGTAAGAAACTCCTACTGGAAGTATCACTTTCATCTTTGCTGAACCCCAGTCTTCCATGGAACACCATTTTGGAAATACTGATCTAAAAACAATGTAGGAGTCCACCAACAGTTGTTTACAAAGGATTACTCTAAACCAGTGTTTCTGGAAGTGGATGCAAGAGAACTGCTGAGCATGCTCAGTGGGTCCGGTCATGCTCAGTGCTCAGAAAATAGCAGGAAGTAGCACAATCTCTCAATGAGGAGCTTTTGACATTACACCCTCCCTGCCATTAGGATCCAACAGCAATACATCCAAAGTTAAAAAAAGATCCTAGCTGTTGATGAACTCAGATGGTCTGCTTGCGTGCTGAACATTTCCTCCTCTTTACTAGAGGCTTCCTGAAGAGTTGCTTGGAAGGTATCCATGGACAGCTTTAGGACACTAGTTGGTTCCCGTCCTAGAATCCCATGCACTGCTCATAGAAGCAACATGTTTGTGGCTCTGAACAAGACAAATTGTTTGCCTCCTTTGTTTTCTGGTGTTCCTGCCTGAGCTCCTTTATTTTCACGCAGCACTGTTACGTGTCCCTGCCGTATCTTTTCCCCACCATGCTGTGTGCAATTTTGGCATAGATTTCTTCTGCTGCTTCATAGTTTTGCCTACACAGGTTCCTCTCCTCATATAGCAATCTGATCAACTCCATGCTGGCGCTCATTTGCAACCCTGGGCATTCATGGTCAAATGTGCTGCTGGCCAAACAAAACAAAATTCAAATTTTCCCAGGGCTTCTCCTATGTGTCTGGGAGAGCAGCAGAGTTGAAAGTGTTGGCCAGAGCAGTCACATTGGGCACTCTGAGGCACCCCCAGAATCCAAGAATATTGACTTTAACAGTGCTACATCTGTTCTATCTCAAAGTCAACAATGCAAGTTCAAATTTTATCAACCAACTTTAACTGCCTTTACAATCAGTGGAATGGGTTTGGTGATGTAGACTCACTGCTTAAAAAATTGGCCTAACGTGATTAATTTTGACCTTAGCTCATAGTGTTGACCAGTCTTAAGTGACACTCAGAGGTTGTGGTGCCCCTCAGGCCATTTGCTTCCCTTCCAAGCTCTGCCATTGAACTGTGTGCTACGATTGCCAATTCTGACTGAAGCTATTCCTCCAACATGAGGTCAGGTCATTTTCTTAAAATAGCCTATTAAAATGTGCCTGATTGCTTTCAATAGTCACCAGCCGATTGATGCCTGAATCTGGGAGATGCCAGGCCAATCCTGGAGGTTTGGCAACTCTACTGTGCACATCCTTGGGCGAGTTACCACTTGGGCCTTTGTTTTCCCTCCTAGTCTTCACCTGGCTTGCCAATTTGCACTGCAAACACTCTGGGCCATGGGTTGGCTCTCACACTGGTTTTGGACAGCTGGTGGAACAATGCAGTGCTGCCGATCTCAGTGAGTGTTACTAGTCATGATTGTCATATAGATGATTATTATAACTCAATGGGCTGACCCGTATAATATACAGAAAGGCTGTTCTGACCTTTAAGATTATGAATAAACATACACAAGAAAACAGAACATACAAAACAGATAACCCAAAATAGCCAAAATAACTCTTACAACCCCTAGCCTGTTAAATAATAAAACAAGAACTAGTTGGGAAACTAACACAGCAGGGCACAGACTATCCAATAAGTTCTTGGACTGAATTGAAGATAATTTTTTATTTCAGAAGGTTGAAAAAGCTACTGGAGGGAAGCTGTTCTAGATTTGATTTTAATAAATAGGGAGGAACTGGTTGAGAATTTGAAAGTGGAAGGCAGCTTGGGTGAAAGTGATTGTGAAATCATAGAGTTCATGATTCTAAGGAATGTAGAAGGGAGAAGCAAAATAGAGACAATGGATTTCAGGAAGGCAGATTTTGGTAAGCTCAGAGAGCTAGTAGGTAAGGTCCCATAGCAAGCAAGACTAAGATAAAAAACAACTGAAGAGAGCTGGCAGTTTTTCAAAGGGACATTATTAAGGGCCCAAAAGCTCGCTATTCTGCTGCATAGGAAAGATAGAAAGTATGGCAAAAGACCTGCCTTGGCTTAACCAGGAGATCTTGCATGATCTAAAAATCAAAAAGGAGTCATATAAAAAGTGGAAATTAGGACAAATGACAAAGGATGAATATAAGCAAACAATACAAGTATGCAGGGGCAAGCTTAGAAAGGCAAAGGCACAAAACAAGCTCAAATTAGCTACAGATATAAAGGGTAACAAGAAGACATTCTATAAATATATTAGAAGCAAGAGGAAGACAAAGGACAGGGTAGGCCCATTGCTCAGTGAGAAGGGAGAAACAAGAACAGGAAACTTGGAAAAGGCAGAGGTGCTTAATGATTTCTTTGTTTTGGTCTTCTCCGAGAAGTTTGATGATGAAGGAATGCCTAACATAGTGAATGCTAGTAGGAATGGCGTAGGTTTAAAAGTTAAAATAAAAAAAGAACAAGTTAAAAATTACTTAGAAAAGTTAGTTGTCTGCAAGGCACCAGGGCCTGATGAAATGCATCCTAGAATACTCAAGGAACTGATAGAAGAGGTATCTGAGCCATTAGCTATCATCTTTGAAAAATCATGGAAGACAGGTGTGTTTCCAGAACACTGGAAAGGGGCAAATATAGTGCCCATCTATAAAAAGGACAATCCAGGAAACTACAGACCTGTTTAACTTCAGTTTAACTTCTGTGCCAGGAAAGCTAATGGAGCAAGTAATTAAGGAATTCATTTGCAACATCTGGAAGAAAATAAGGTGATAGGTAACAGCCAGCATGGATTCATAAAGAATAAATTATGTCAAACCAATCTAATAGCTTTCTTTGATAGGACAACAAGTCTTGTGGATAAGGGAGAAGCAGTGGACGTGGTATACCTAGACTTATGTTCTTAGGTTCTTAAGGACAAATGCAAGGTACTCCACTTAGGAAGGTAGAATCAGTTTCACACATACAGAATGCGAAGTGACTGTCTAGGAAGGAGCACTGAAGAAAGGGATCAAAGTGGACCACAAGCTAAATATGAGTCAACTGTTTGACGCTGTTGCAAAAAAAAGCAAACACAATTCTGGGATGCATTAACAGGAGTGTTGTGAACAAGACATGAGAAGTCATTCTTCCACTCTTCTCTGCACTAATTAGACCTCAACTGGAGTATTGTGTCCAGTTCTGGGCACCACATTTCAAAAAAGATGTGGAGAAATTGGAGAAGGTCCAGAGAAGAGCAACAAGAATGATTAAAGGTCTAGAGAAAATGAACTATGAGGGAAGACGGATAGAATTGGGCTTGTTTAGTTTGGAAAGGAGAAGACTGAGAGGGGACATGATAGTGGTTTTCAAGTACAGGCGGTCCCCAGGTTACGTACAAGATAGGGACTCTAGGTTTGTTCTTAAGTTGAATTTGTATGTAAGTCGGAACTGGTACATATTGTAGGGGAAACTCTAGCCAAACATTTCTCCAGAGCTCAGTTTTATTCTCCCACACCTCACTTCCCTCAGCCCTTTATTCTCAAGCTGAGGGGTCTGCTGAGAAAAGCCGCTCCGCGTCTCCCTGGTCTGCTGGGAGGGCGCTAGCTTTGCGTCTCCCTGGTCTGCTGGGGGGGAAGCAGCTAGTGCGGGGTTGCCTCACCCCGTTTGTAAGTAGGGATCTGATGTAAGTCGGATCCATGTAACCTGGGGACTGCCTGTATCTAAAAGAGTGTCAGTAGGAGGAGGGAGAAAAATTGTTCTCCTTGACCTCTGAGGATAGGACAAGGAGCAATGAGCTTAAATTGCATTAAAAGAGATTTAGGTTGGACATTAGGAAAACTTCCTAACTGTCAGGGTGGTTAAACACTGGAATAAATTGCCCAAGGAGATTGTGGAATCTCCATCTCTGGAGATATTTAAGCACAGGTTAGATAGACCTCGATCAGGGATGGTCTAGTCAGTACTTGGTCCTGCCGTGAGGTCCCTTCTAGTTCTAGTGTTCTCTAATTCTATGATTCTAAGAACACAGGAAAAACAAGAAATAAAAATTATAGATAACACTGAGAAAACGTGATGTATGCTGGAAGAGTCTGATACAAGGGATAGAGGGAAAAATTCTGGATTGCAATTTACATGAGAAATGCAACATTAACCATGGGGAAACAGAGAAATGCGGAGGAGAAAAAAGAGCACAAACAAAATAATCCTTGTTTTTCAGGCAAAACTGGAGCAGAAAAATATAAAGAAAATAAAAATACATATATTAAACCATGCAATGGTGTTACTGGGCCAAATCCTGAGTAATATTGCTTTATACCGTCTGAGGACCTGAGAAATTACATTTTGGGATTATAATATTAAAGATGACGTGCAATAATATTTCAAGATCAAAAAAATGAAGTGAAGAAAATGAAGGTAAAACAGAAAGAGAGATATGGATATGGCCCCAAAGAAATTAAATCAGAAATTAGATTAGTAAATCATCCAGTCTCTCTCTGCCAATACCAATGTTTCCTACAATATGTTTCCTGTTTTAAAAGTCCTAAACAAAAGGGTTTCCACCATTTCCCAGGGAAAATCATTCTAC